AAGCCGTAAGCAAGATTATTTTTTATAGTGATGGCTGTAGCTGTCAGAACAGGAATGCATTGCTCTCCAGTGCCCTTTTAAACTTATCCCAAGAGAGTAAAATACAAATTGAGCAGAAGTATCTTGAAAAGGGACACACGCAGATGGAATGCGATTCAATGCATTCAAGTATTGAAAGGAAGCTTAAAAAGAAAATTATAAACGTCCCAGCTGATTACGTAGAAGTATGCCAATCAGCACGTCTCAACCCAAGACCTTATATTGTCAACTACCTAGACTACACATTTTTTAAAAATTTTGAGAGTATGCAAGTTCTTAATTCCATAAGACCCGGAAGGACCACAGGGGATGCGGTTGTCACCGATATCAGAGGCCTAAGATATAGCCCAGATGGGTCCATCATGTTTAAAATTCGTCACCCAGAAGAATGGAAACCAAACCATGTCGCCTGAATAAAAATAAAACTGTTGATGCCCTCCCCCAACTTTACGATGCACCAATACCAATTAAAAAGGAGAAATTTCAATATTTAATGGATTTAAAACTGTCTCTAAAGAAAGACTACCATGCGTTCTATGATAGTTTGTCCCACTTATAAAATATAAATATTATTGTTTGAGTTTTTCTGTTCAGAAACCTGGTTTTTGGTTTTTAATAATTAAATAAACTATAGTACAAATTTATTGTTTTAAAAGTGTTTTATTGGTTTCCTGATAAACGAAAATGGCATAAGTCCTAAAATAGTCAAAAAATAAATAAGCCAATTGCCTAAGTCCATTCAATTGTAGTAAAAAAAATAAAATTATAATAAAATTGAATATAATGAAAATAACAAATTCATCTAAACAACAAGCAGTGTGAAAAAATATTTAGATTTAATTTTATTCTAATTAAAATTGAAATTGATAAAGTTTTTTAACTCTCCTGCAAAACTGTCATTTTGTGAGTTAGGCAATTTGCATCTTAGAACGACGTTATGCTATTATGTCAGTTTAGTTTACTACCAGCTATTGTTTAATAAAAAAAATTAAACATTACGAGTAGTTGCTCATTTAACTCGAGGGCGAAGAGGCCCTGTTAAACGAAGCCCGTCAGATGGGTACGTGGTCAGGTAGATCCGGACGAGGTGACGCGGTAGATATACACCCAATCTTCCTCGCTCCAACTCCACAACGCTTACACCCGAACGTAGACCGCTACTACGACCACTTATCATTACTATACTACCTCCTACAAAAAAATACCGCCTCGACACTTATTCAGATTTAGAGAGTTTTAGTGAGGAAGTTAAGCTATAATCCGGTTCTGATGGCAAGCAAGGATGGCAAGTAATCCCAAAAAAAAAATCTGGGAGGAAGTAGGTGCCATGATGGTTGCAAAAGGATATGTGATTACAGGAACACAATGCTCAGGAGAAATAAGAAGTTGAAAGAAGACCTACAAGGACATAAAAGACCATAATTCAAAGTTAGGAAATGTTAGAAGACACTGACAATTTTTTGAGGTATGCAAACGAACTATCGTATCTATAATAATTCTACTAATACGGAAAAAATACAGTCATAAATATTTTGCAGATTATGGATGATTTTTTTTTCCAAAAAGGCATGCTACGATTCTGAAGCTGTAGCAACATCAACAGATCTTTAAGTGACAAAGTCAGATCAGAAAGAAAACTCAGTGGATTCCGATAGCGGATGTTCAACTGAGTTATCAAGCAGTAAGTTGTATAATTATATATATAAAAAACAAAAACAAAAATAGCTATACTTTATTCAGCACAAAATCTACTGAAGCCACAATGAGTTGCTTACTTGCTAAAAGATTAAGACAAAAGGACCAACATGAGGAAGCAAAGGCAAGGAGGTATAAAGAGCAAATGGAGATGAGTGCGAAATTACTCGCAGTGCTAGAAATGAATTGTCACTGATAATGAATCAGTAATTTTTTTAATAAATCAAACTTAAATTTAGTGCGCATCAGTTGTGGGACTATGTTGCCCTAACTATCAAGTATAGGGATTTTGCTTGTCTATTCTACTTACTTTGGCTAGAAGGGTAAAACTACAAATTGCTTGTAGGTGCATGTCAAAAACTGGATCAGAAGATACCATAGATTTCAGCAAGCAAATCAACAGTAATCTAACGTTTCATTGGTGTCTTCTGGCTCTTATTAATTTTGGCGCTGTTTAATATTGGGACTTGACCTGATAGAAATAGATATTTTGCGTTAGCTGCAGCACCAATTCCGGTGACTAATGCGAGCATACAGAAATTCATTGGAATCCTTACAATGCTGAGAGCCTATTACCTAATTCCTTGATGTAGAAAAAGGCAAAACGCAGAGCCCAAACAGCTGACAAAACATGAAATGAAAACGTTCCTAACCATAGAATCAAAAAAGTGTATTTTGCATCTGAATGATAAACAGGACCTTCTTCCACTAAACCCCATCGAAAGACGTGATGTAGTTATAAGAATAGAATATAGTGATTCAACATAGAACACCCGATTAAAAAGCGATTAGTTAAGTATAGGTTGCGTATTTTATTATGAATGTATTATTTTAAGCCATCGCACTAATAGTTGAAATGATATAAGACCGGATAGTAATACCAGAAATATTCGTCTCTCTCATCAAGAAATTACGGTGTTAATTTTTTTTTTTAAGAAATCCCAGTCAGTCATAATTGATGATAATAATAGCAAATAGTGAACAATGTGCGATGCGTACATGTATTTTGTTTCAGCTGACGCAAGCATAGTTACGGTATAGCATCAGGTACAGGTCAGTGGAATAGTATTTATTGTCTTAATGAATGAATTTTTTTTGTCCAAAGCGGATGGCACCAACAAATTTATAGATAGATTAGTTTAAGATAGTACATAAGCAAATAAATTTTATATATTGGAAGTTTTCTGGCCCCATTAATAGATGTATAGTCGGTATAACTTCAATAATCCGGGCAGATATCGTTCCGAGACATGCCCGGACTATCGAGGCATCTGGATTACTGGAGAGATTTGAGTTTATGAAATAAAACATCTTAACTATGGAAAGTAATAATAATATATGACATACGTCTTTATTAGTATTCCTACCTGACTCTTGAAACGATTTTGAAATAAAAGTCCTTCTTATCCCTTTTTTCTTTACATCAAACACTTTAGATTTTGGAATACCAAACTGCTCTGCAATTCGACGTGTACGACGTGCTTGAAAACCAAATGCAGAAAGAAAAATGCCGCCGCGCCGTGCCGTTTCCAACCTTCATTGAACCATTTTTTAATTGTTTAGTCAGGAAAATTCTTTTGTTTTGCATATGAATATTTTTGCGCCCCGATTCTAGAGGCAAAATTTTCAAAATGTCCGAATCAGGCTAGCCGCACATTGAGGGCAGCGCAGCCTAGCACAGCACAGCGGAGGAACTACAGAGGAAAACTACTCCTGTGCTCTGCCAGAGCGATATCCGCATATTGAACGTAGATAGTTATTTCTTCCTGTGTTTCTGTTATAAGTTTTTTTTTAAAATTTTATATTTTGTCCAAAAGGCATAAAAAAGCAATATAGAAAAACGATTATTTGAGGAAAAGAAGCACTCATGGGAAATTCAATTTAATAAGTGAACTTGATGATAATCAAATTCAAATGACAATTTCTATATATTTTGGTTTAATCTTCGGGCGAAGTGAGGGCGCAGTTCCGAAAAAACTGTGTTCATTTCACATAGAGAATGCAGCACAGGCAGAGGGAAAATTTTCCTGCGTCTAGTCCTTACAAGTTACTACGTGCAATATGCGGCACTGCGTTTGTTCATGTACGTTACAAAAAGTCTTCCTCTGCTCGGTTGTGCTGTGCTAGGCTACGCTGCCCTCAATATGCGGCTAGCCTCACAACAGAGCCCGGATTAATGGAGTGTCCGGATTAGCGACTGTCCGAACTATCATAGTTATACTGCATTTTTGAAATTTGTTATATTAGAAGTTGCAAGAACATTGATAGGTGATATCTACCAGGAGAAGAAAATTAGAGCACTATGACGAAGCAGAACTGCCGTTGATAAAAACATAGCCGCATTGGCCTTTCTTTTCGACTCCAAAACTGTTACATATATAGCACTGTTTTTGCTCGGGAGTTTATGGCAATGCAAAGATTTATCTCATTTACGTGAATGGCAGCCAGGAACGTAACTTTTTTCCAACCACGACATTATAATATATATTAAATAATAAATAATTACGAGTCACATTGACATTCGTGTACATTTTACTCGCAAATAAAAATATCAAAGAAAATAGATAACGTTATTTATCTTTATTTCTTTACTATCTTTGCACATGATTAATTATAAAGCTCATTTTATAGGCCTTTTATTCGAATAATAATGCTTTCAAACAGCAAATTATTATTGTATGCAGCTAGTATCGTAAACAAATATTCTGGAAAACAAAGCAACAAATAAAATCAGGTGAATGAATATTATACTATCATCACTGATATATAGAAATATTGATTTTATATCATTCCATTAGGAATTTTGAAGGTATTTATTATTTATATATAAACACATGATAAATTTATAATTACTCGTACTTCTTGAAAGCAAATTTCCAAAAAATCGGCATTTTTGCTTCTTGAGTTTTATTCACTCTATTAGTTTCTTTCGAGGCTTCTTCTCTTTCTCTGTTCCTTGACGCCTTGCTGCTCCCTCGTTAGGACGACTGTTGGAATTGTTTTGTCTCATGTTGTCCCTTGGGTCTTCATTCTTGACGTTTTGGACGCAAAGCAACGGAAGGCACCGCAATACTGATCAGTCTTGAACGCATCCTACAAGTTTTTATTCTACAATAAAGATACCTTTGTCATGAAAGTGGTCCTTGTTGGTGAAATGTTTCGAGGAAACGCGTGTGTAATTTTTTATCTGGATGTATGCCTTCCAGTATATGTTTTGTCCCAGCTCCCATTCTTAAATCATGTTTAATCAGCTTAATAATGGTTTTCTAATCACCTGGAGTCAAAGTTTTTAGATTTTTGAAAAAATTATTGATTTGGTCGTCTTCTTCAGTAAGTTTTATTAAACGATCCAAAAAATTGTCAACTGCTTGAACAGTTGTTGATTTTGAAGTAATTGGAGTGAACTTTTTGCTTTGATTGTAAAAATGGCTTATTGTATCACCTGTATCACCTGAAAAAATATGAAAAATAAGCATTGGGATCTTGATTGGGACCGTGTTTATAAATAATGACGCTTCAAGTTATCGCCTCTCCGCAGTTAATTGTAATGACATACATGGTGGCAATGGCAGTATGGTTTGTTGAATATCATATCGTTTAACCATAATCTCAACCATATCGAACTAATTCATTGTTAGTATTCATTTTATCTTATTAAAAAGCTGAATTTAATGCGTAAACACAACATTTATTGATTCTGATGCGTCCGCTAATAATTATAACTGCGTCATAATTCCCGATCTCGTTCCTGCCTGATTGTTTATGTAAGAAACTATCGTACCATTGTTCGACTGCACTAAAATCCTTCTTTCTGCCAGAATTTGCGAACAAATTTTCAGAGCGGCTTTATACTAGGGAAAGAAATCTTCTGTGCGAAGCCTTTTATCGGGATAAAAAATATGCCTAATCAGATCCAGCACCAACAAAAAAAAAAAAAAACGCAATAGTTGGCTGACCCTGTACCTACATGCTACATCGATGATGTCAATTCAATTTGTTTGAATAGCGAGGCTCTTCTTTTGTTGAATCAGATTTTTCTGGAAGGTTTAACTGCTAGATTAGAGAGTAGTCCTCCATTGGTTTTAGGTACAGACTTGATCTCATTCATACCTAAATATTTAAATAACTTGTATTTAGGTGATTTATTATTTTGTCACCTTTGTTCAAAAACCATGTTATCAAAAATTATGGAACTGCGCTATACAAGTTAAAAAACGATACCTCCATGGCTGCTGCTAGACGAAAATATTTGATGGTCATTGCCATAAAGGATCTTGAAAATATAGCCACAAAAACTATATATCAACGCACATGGCGATGTCGATAATTTAAAAACTGATTTGGAAAATGCTTTTGGAAATCACTTCAAATGTAGTCCTTCATATTGTCACTGTATTGGGGATTTTAGCAATAAAATGGCAGAAATGGAGATTGCTGGCATTTTCAATCGGATAACAACTGTGCTTCAGCGAATTGTGTTAAGCCAGGGCCACAAGCTGATTAATGAAACAAACAATCGAGCAGAGATGTTTATCTATTTGTCTGGGCTACAATACGATAAAGGTGCTGATAGGCAAAGCTCAACTTGACTGGACTCGAAGCTAACGGTGCCAGGCAGTGCCTTTTAATCGTTTGTGAGAAAATGCAAGAAGCGACATGAATATGACAGTACACGTGAAGCGCAAATTTCAGGAAATCCTAACAAGAAACCTCCTAAAAAGAAGGTTAAAAAAGAAGCAGCAGGATATGGGCCAACAGGCTTCTTTTACAGAGGAAGAGTTTTATTTTGAGAAGAGTAGGCTTTTGAATAGACTCCAGGTTTATCCATAATTATTATTCTGAGTAATTTTCAGGAACCGCCGTGAGAGATCTCCATCATAGATCAGAAAACCATTGGCCACTGAGAAAATAGGCTTTATCAATTTTGGTGAAGTCTGCCGGAGAAGGCAATATACTGCTCCCGACAAGTTGGTTAAAAGGAATATAAATCCTGACAATATCAGAGCTGTCGCCATGGACGGCATAAACTTGTTATGTATATTAGAGTCTCCAGTTTATATTTATTTTGTGATTTCGTTTCAGAATATTTCCGAGGACAAAATTGATCGAGGTAGGTACCTAAATTGCAAAAGTCTGTTTCATTATATTATTATATTAGTAAATTTAATATTTTTTTAAGATTTCAGAGTCGAACTCTATGTATTTAGAGTCGAACTATGCATTTTGAATTTCGTATTCCATAGCAATCGTCGGATTCAATTGAGATTACAATACCTTCGTAACTTTTTTGGATCTATTTAATACCTTAGTTCATAATAATCCAGACTTTTCGGACATTGGGCGCTTTAGAAGGTCCGCCCTTATCATTGATACGCACACTCCCTTTGACAGCTGATAATTATCTCACGGCTTATGACACACTTGTACAACGCTATTCAAATTATCGATAGGTTAAAGGATAAAATGCTGCTAGACAAAATAAAACCAGGTGCGGGGTGTTCTATTCTGTTAAAATGCATTTGATTATTTATGATTTTTTTATGGATGAAATGCAGAGAATGTGGCTGAGGCTGAGGGAGCAGTTTTCAAGGGAAAGAAGGGAGCTGAAAGAGCAGGATTCGGGGTCACAAGCTCCCGAATCGACCTGGCCCTTTTTTTATTGCATGCAGTTTATGGAGTTACATGTCGTCACCGTAGGATTATAATGGTCTATATCCATTTTTTGGGGAAAAAGAGTTAATTGCACAATTTTTTTCAGGAAAATTAGCTTGGTCTATATCCATTGAAAACACATATTAAACATTTCAAATAAAAAAATAAATAGTAATATTTTGTTATATATCCCTTCAAAATTTTAAAATGCCAAAAATTATTTTGTGCCATATCCCAAACTTCTTATTTGTGCTATATCCTCTAAGTCTATTGAAGCTATCCTAAAAATTATTGTGTTCTATATCCTATCATCTAGGATATAGAATAAAATGGTGCTTATAGACTTTGCCCTTAAATGAAATTATATTGTTCTATATCCATTGGCATTCCCTTTCTTTCATATCTAAATAATATAGCTATCTTGTATCTTTGTTTATTCACCTATCACCGGCAAACAAACACACAAACAACTTAACCTATCTTATAACTTTCCAGTGAGTATGAGTAATACACCTACCGGCTTTTGAGTAATTTCCTCAGAAAAGTGTGGTAATAATTGAAATTATTGTTTTGTTAATAATTTATTGTGATTAGCGTGATAATGGAGTCTTTAGAAGCACAAGGGTAAGTTTAATCTATAGTGATATCACGGATTATTTTAGGGTTTACGTTTACACATCAAAACATAATTTTGCATTTTTATAATTTGAATAAAAAAATCGCATTGATACTAACTAAGTAGGTAGAAGGTAGTAGGAAGATAATAATTAATTAATAATATTATATAAATTATAATTTTCCATTACTTAGCTCTGAGTCTGAGGATAAAACGTACGAAAGTCGAACAAGTTCCCCAGGACCTGAGAAACCTTTAGACTGCCCGAGTGATGTTTGGGAGTAAGATTTTTTATTGAATAAATATTGTTATAATGGCCTTATATGCTTTTATTTAGCAGGAAAAAAAACAGAACAAAGTTTAGAAAATCGTTGAATCATGAATCAAAATACATAATCAAGATTGTACAGATTAATATAATAATAAGTTTAAATTTTAATGTCAGTTTATTTTCTTGTAAATCCATATTTAAAATATAAGGTCATGTAGTAATTGCTCATTTGCAGAAAAACATTTCTCCTTCCGTCTATTTATGGCTTGTAAGTTTATCTACTGAAAGTAGGTGAACCATGTTTTCTAAATGCACTTTTATTGTTTTAGAGATGAACACGTAAACTTTGAGATAGATTCAAACGACAATGAGATGAACGGTGATTCGAAGTAAGATTGTTTTTAAATAAAGATATGAAACATTAAGTATGCTTGTTTTTAGTGCAAATGCGAGCGACTCCCAAAATGAAATTGTTTTAGAAATAATAGATATTAACGAGGATGGACAAGAAACAATTCTAAATAAAGAAAGTGTGACACTACCAAAAGATGAGACACAAACCCAACATGTAAACGAAACCATAATGGCCGAAGAAAATAATAATATTTTAGAAAATGTTGATACAAATACCCCTACCAGAAAACGCAAACGAAATCCAAATGGGTGGAAGCAAAATATACGGAAAGAAAACCGTCAACATGGTAAAGAATATATTAATACAAAGGGCAAGTTAGTTGCTCATAAATCGGTAAAAACAACTGGATGCAAAACAGAAAAATGTAGTTTTAAATGTGAAGAGAAAATTACAGTTATCGACAGAGAAAATATAAACAGAAAATTCTGGAGCCTTGGCGACGAAATAAAAAATCATTTTTATTCTAAGCATATTAAAAGATACCCAGCAATACGAAAAAGAACTAAAAATGAAAATAGCAGGAAGACTTATTCTTACGATTACTTTCTTTATGTCTCTGGTGTAAAAATTAAAGTGTGCCAAGAGTTTTTCCTGAATACTTTAAACATTAGCAAAAGTCGGGTTTACTACTTTTTTCAAAAAGTCGAAAGTCCCAAGTCCAACGTTCCACGGGCTCCTATTACAGGAAAACATCAGAAAAAGGTAGTTCCAGACGAAGATAAAGAAAAAGTTAGGAATCACATCTCATCGTTTCCTCTAGTAGAATCGCACTATTGTCGCCAAAATTCATCAAAAAAATATTTAGAGCAAAATCTAAATATCCAAAGAATGTATGACCTATATAAAACGACTGTTGAAAATCCCGTTAAATTTCATTTATACAAGTCCATTTTTAATAAGGAGTATAACATAAGTTTTATTAAGCCAAAAAAGGACTTATGTGATAAATGCGAAGGTTTTAAAGTAAATAGAAATGCAAGTACAGAAGAAAAAATGGAATATGAAGAACACCTGAAAAGAAAAAATATAGGTAGACAAGAGCGACAGAGAGACAGGGAAGCCTATATTGATGATGATACGGTGGGAATAATCACTTTTGACCTAGAGAATACTTTTTCTTTACCTAAAGCAAATATTAGTAACTTTTTTTACAAAATGAAGTTATGTTGCTACAATTTAACGGCCCACTTGGATAAAACTAAAGTTGTTTATAATGCAATATGGCATGAGCTTATTTGCGGTAGAGCTGGTGTTCACATTGCCAATGCTATAATAAGAATTTTGAAAAGAGTTATTGAGGACAATCCGCAGCTAGAGAAAATTATTTTGTGGTCTGATAGTTGCGTACCACAAAACAGGAATTCCATTTTGTCATTCGCTCTACAGTATTTCCTTAACTCGCCAGAGTCTGGAAATTTGAGGAGGATTGAACAAAAGTTTGGAGAACCAGGACATGGCAATGTTCAGGAAGTCGACGCAGCTCACAGCTGCATTGAGAGATTTATTAAGAATTTGGAAATATGGAGTCCTCTAACTCTGGTTCGCATACTCTTGAAGATTCCAAATACATGGAAGCTGAAATTTTCTGTTTTACAGATGAAACCAGCTGACTACAAGAACTATCAACTGCTTTCTGGGACATTTAATTACAATGAGATTCCATACACAAAATTGAAACATATAATTTATGACAAGAGATCAATATTTAATGTTAAATTCAAAACATCATTTGAAGGAGAATCATCTGAGGTGAGGTTAGTGCCTCTGAAAAAATATAAAAATAACAACCATGTAGGCATAGAGTTTCCAACGTCTATCCCAAATATAAACTTGGCTGTAAAAATAAATGATGCGAAAAGAAAACATTTACTTGAAATGATGGATTATATGCCCGAAGATGAAAGAATATTCTATAAAAATTTAATGCCCACGGAGAAAACTGCTGCAAATAAGCAGATTATGGTGAAGAAAACCAATAAGCCATCCAAGGTTGGAAATAAGAAACCGAAGAAAAAAGGAATTGCATCTACAAGCAAGAAATGAAAATAGGAATAAGTTTGATATCTTTTTGAGAAGAATTTTTGATTTTGTATGCATTACTATTAAAGTTAAAGTGTGTGAAATACTTTAAAGAAATAATAAAATTATAAATGAGGGAAATGGCTGTGTGCACATCAACGATGTAGAGAAGAAAAAGACATTAGCATTAATTACAAAACGAAAAAGAACACGTTGTCTGAGACCAAACTAATTAATGTAATTGCCATGGTTCAGCCCTAGGGCCCCCTTTTTACAACTAAATGTTTTTACACCTAAATGTTTAATGTTTTGCAATAATTTAAATGTATGTTCGTTCCATTAAGTATGTGGTGCTCTTTTACAATTTCTGACTTCAATGTACTCCTGACAAAGAAGCACTGAAGATGGCCTACGGCCGAAAGCGCTCTGCTATTCAATAAAATTTATGCACAGAATACACACTGGGGTCTCCCTTGTCTTTTTCTTCTCTAATAAAATTATGTTGTTCTACATCCCTAACTTTTGTTCTATATCCCTAGAATTTCATTGGACTGCACTACTTTTTTGTATTTATTCCATATCCAAAATAAAAAACTTAAATATATTTTATTACAGACGTCCAAGACATGTTTAATTGGTTGTAATACAAATATGAATATATATATTCCATACAAATAAATTTTCAATGGGCCTATATTATTCAGAAAAAACGAGATTAAACTTCAAACCTTGTTTCCTCGTTTTGAACTAAATGGACATAGAACACTTTAACACTACGGTGACGATGTGCAAACAAGAAAGTAAGAATACTTTTCTAAATTAAATTAAAATTTAACTTGAAAATATTAATTTCAGGCGTTCCAAAAATATTAAAGGAGTCGGCCAGATCGCAACTCCTTTGAGTTCTCCTGCGGATGGTTCAATGCAATCTCCTTGGAGCATTATCAAGGAAAACCTTTACAGAAAGTGGCGTTTGGAACCTTTGTGGGCCTCTTCCTTATGGAGATGGGACGGGAAGAGCAAAACCACAAATGATTGAGAATTCTGGAAATTTGAAATGAAAATTACCCATGAAATTATTCTGTAATTTTCCGAATAAAAAAAAAAAACAACAAAAAATCAAAATCTTATTGTGTTTTATTAAGCTATACTATTTATTAAAAATAAATTGATCGAAAGTTTATACATATTTATACATGTTGATGCAAGTTCAGATAGGTACCGTAAAATGGGGTGTCTTGAAAAAGTGTGGTGACTTGAAAAATATTGCAATACAGATTTTGAAGTAGTTGCAACATTGCGTATCAGCTGAGGAAGCCGTTTTATCGCTTCATTCTCATTCAGCAGGTTGTCCGCGCCATAAACAGACAAAAAACAAACACCTAGTGTTAACTGCCTACAGTGTGCAAAAATTTGAAACCAGGTAAAAAAAAATACGTGATTTTATACCCTGCAAACTTCATATTGTAGAATCCATAGTATAATTACAAGAATGCCCCGGTTTTTTTTTTGTTTTGGTACAATATATTGGTCAACGAATTTAAACTAAAATAATTTTATAAATGTATTGTTGAGCAGTGGCGTATCAATTTTTTTTTTTGTACTTTTAGGGGTGACTTGAAAAATATGCCGCGGACATACCAACGGCGCCCAGGGGCACGAAACTATCAAAATTATTCTACGGTGTCGGTGCAACAAGCAGTTAACGAATATAATAATGGAAATGGTACTCTGCAAGCGATTGGACAGAAATATGGTATTCCAGTTGCCACTTTATATCGCAAGGTCAATAAATTACACCAAAAAACACCAGGGGGTCAAACTGCATTATGCAGCGTCGATGAAACTGCAGTAGTAAATTGCATTGCCTTAGCTGCTGATTGGGAATTCCCGTTAGAAGGTGAGGATATAAGAGAGCTAGTTAAAAGTTATTTAAATAGACGTGGTATTACTGTTCCATTGTTTAACAACAACATGCCGGGAAGAGGATGGTATCTAGCCTTTGTAGATAGACATAATGATGTTCTTTCAAAGAGACTGTCACAGGCTATTAAACAAAGTCGGGCAAAAATAAGCCCTCGCATTATCAACCAATACTTCGATAATTTGACAACTATTTTAAACAACGTTGATCCAGCAGCTATAGTTAACTACGACGAGACGAACTTTACTGATGATCCTGGCCGCGTAAAAGTCGTCGTTCGTCGAAGCTGTAAAAGGGCCGAAAAAATTATGGATTCATCGAAGGCAGCAACATCTGTTATGTTTAGTATTTCCGCTTCAGGAAAAATGCTTCCTGTATACATTGTCTACAAGGCTGATCACGTCTGGTCAAGTTGGACGGAAAACGGTCCACCTAAAGCTCGATACAACAGAAGCAAGTCAGGCTGGTTTGACACTAACTTGTTTGAAGAATGGTTTTTGACTGTAGCCCTACCATATTTTAAATCTCTAGGAGAAGGGTCAAAAGTATTAATTGGAGATAACTTGGCAAGCCACATCTCAGTTCAAGTAATATCATTATGCAAAGAGAACAATATAAAATTCGTGTTACTACCGCCAAATAGTACGCATCTAACCCAGCCTTTAGACGTGGCTGTCTTTCGGCCTGTTAAAAATGCTTGGCGCAAAATTTTGCGAACCTGGAAAAAAAGCAATAAAGGTGTTGTGCGCAAAGATGTTTTTCCACGCCTTTTAAATCAGGCTTCAAATAGTATCCAAGTTCAAAATGCGGCCAATATATGCTCTGGATTTGAAGCCACCGGAATTTTTCCTCTGTGTAGGGATAAAATTTTGAATAAGCTTCCAAAAGAAGTTCCTTCAGTACAGGAAGCAGAGAACAGCGCTGCAGCTGCATTGAAAAAGATATTGCAGGAGGCTAGATACGGAAGCGCCGATGGTACACCAAAAGGGAGAAGAAAGAAACTTGATATTCAGCCAGGAAAAAGCATCGCGATTGAAGACATTACTCCACAGAAACCTGATGATTTAAATAACAACAAACCTGGTCCATCAAAACCCAAGAAACAAAAACCAAGAAAAAAGAAGCTAGTTTCTTCAGAATCTGAGACGGAAGAAGAAGAAGATTGGAACCAATTTGTAAAGAGAAAGCGTGTCTTCACAAGACGCTTCAGTGACAGTGGATCAGAAGAAGATGAATCGGTTCTTCGTGAAAATGAAAGTGACAATAATGTTGATACTATAGACATTGATGGAACAACAAGCGACGAAGAAATTCAAAATACCAAAGATGAAAATGGAAAGACTGAAGAAAATAAAAAGACTGAACAATATGAATACCATAAGAACGACTTTGTTTTAGTGGAACTTAAATCTACAAAGAATATTTCCAAGAAGTTTCTGGCAAAAATTGTTTCAATCGAAAACGATTCCTTTGTCTGTTCGTATTTAAGATCACATTCAAAAATAAAAGAGGCATATATTTTTCCACAAGTAGAGGAAGAGTCAGTGGTAGAAAAAAGCGAAATCGTCAAGAAACTTCCTTCACCCATAGTTTTAAGAAGAGGGACCTTAAAATTCCCAGGGCTTCAGTTATAACTTATGTAGGGACTTACCACACCTTATTGCAGTTACGTACCTACCATATTTTTTGTTTATTTAATTAGAGTTAGCTATTCTTTCGTTTCTGTGTATTTTATACGAATTTGTTTATATTTTCTTTAATAAAGGGTTATTTTCTTGAAAATCGTTTGTTTTTTGCCAAAATTGTCGCTGTCAGGCGTTTTTCTTTTAATGTATTTTATTTCATTTCACCTCATAAACACTCTGACTTGAATTACAGGCCCATTAACGATCATTTTTCAAGTCTCCCCATCGTGGGGTGGCTTGAAAAATGACCTTTAATATTTTTTTTTTCGAAAACGATACTTGAAAACTGACTTCAATATTCCATTACATTCCCTAGTGCCTAAAGAGTTGGTGACTATTTTTAGTTTTGTTGAAAGACTCATATTAGGCTCGTAATTTATGCAAGTATGTCAAAAATCTTATCAAGTCACCCCATTTTACGGTACCTACCTAAATTGCAAAGTCTAAATTTCGTATTCCACAGCGTCTGTCGGATTCAATTGAGATTACAATACCTTCGTAACTTTTTTGAATCTATTCATTGCCTTAGTTTATAATAATCCATACTTGTCGGACGTTGAGCGCTTCAGAAGGTCCGCCCTTATTACCAATGATAAGGGCGGCTCTTAATACGGCAGACATTTTAAAGAAGTAGCCCTTATATAAATACGCAGATGAATCCACTTTGGTGAGTTGGAACAAGCTTGCATTAGTTTTAAAATACCCAATTTTAACCAAATATTTTCAGAGCGACTTGGACTTTTCTCAACTGCATAAAGAAAAATCCTATAATTTGTTGAAAAAGTGGGACAGCTTCAAAACTCTGATACCTATACTGAACAGCAGAATAAAGGACAAACAAAACATCAGTCTCCTAAAGTTAGTCAACACACTTAGCTCGGGAGGTAAGTTATTTTAGTTGCGTTTTTGTGAAGAGCTTTTTAAGTATAGTATAAGCTTATTCACTAACGAAATATTTTATTGCAGAAACTTCAAGCAACGTGATTATTGCGTTGTTATTACATGCGCTGCTGCCCCCGACTGTTGAACATACAGTTAAAAGTGAAAATAAGAAATTAATAGTGAAGTCAACAATTAAGGATTCGCAGGATTCATTCTTCTTTCACATCAAGGTAAACAACGATTTTGACAGAAAAATAGATACTTATAGAAGTATACTCTTAAATAGAGATGAAACTTTGCAACCACTAAATATAGCAATAGGCAATGACCTACTAAATATCACAGAGTTTATAGTTTTCTAAGATAATATAAAATATATATTCAATAATTTTATCGCGGCACTAGACTGCTGCTTTAAAATATTTCAGGTTTTAGAACTTCATTACCCAAAAGTTAGTAATTGTTTTTGGCACTTTATTCAAACTTACTTTTTCGAAATGAATTCTAATGAAAATTTAACCCTAGTATTCTTTTTCAATTCAAAATATGTGTTCTTAAAAAAATTAACATTTTCATTTATTAATATGCATTATTTAATTTAGGATTTGAATTGTTAATAAAAAATTTATTTTCTGTTCAATAAAATGCCTCTGTGTTACGAATGTAAAGCCCATAATATTGATTCTAACTTCACTGTCAATCAGCTTATCAAATATTTCAAATTTTTTCCTAATTTTGCATCCTCTAACCATTACTTTTGTGTCGAGTGTTCACATACGTATCAGTCATTAAGAGCATTTAAAAGACATTTCAAAACCAAAAATACATGTCAACACCTCAGCAATGTGAATATAGACTTTTTAATTGATACTACTGATTCGAAACCATATTCAACTAATCCAAAACCAGATAATAAACAATCAACTGATATCAACAAATTACAAGTGATTTTTGAGAGTATTGAAACTTCGACTTTGCTTTTTACGAGTAATCTCCATAGCAAATAAAATTTTTCAAAAAATTATGTTGAGGAAATGGTATCGAATATTAGAACTAACTTATTAGATAAAACATTCTCTGAATTAGAAACGTATTTCGCACATAATTTCGATGGAGAATTAGCACAGTTAAAACAATTTAAAAACATACTGAAATTCTGTAAGAACCCTTTTCAGAATATTGATAGTTTTTATAAATATATAAAAAAAGTAGAAGAAAAAGAGTGCTATAAAGAACCACAAGTTTTACATATAAATAATGAAGTTGGGCCAGTAGTTTCAAGTAGTAACATATGACTGAAAAAATATGGAAGGGCATGGTCATGCCCATGCGATTTCAATGTCAAAATTTTTTTGAGCTAGATAATAACTTACGCTTTACACTTGATAACATAGAAGCACTCTCAGCCAATAATGATGCAAGAAAAGGAACATTCATTTTCCTTTGTTGGAAGTTAGAATATTGATATCCCAGTTCCATGAACGTGTTGCAACCCTAGGCTTCATCTAAGGCGGGAGGAGTTATGTATGACAAGCGGTGTATGTTAGAAGATCCCACACTTGCTTCCAGACTAATGTTATATGTCATTGTGTCTCGGACTATGAGTGTAACATGATACATTTGTTTATTATTTAGTATAGAGTTACAAGATAAATCTCGATAAATGCTGATTCTAACTTTTGTTCAAACCTTATCTTGTTAACTTGAAACTAATTTGTTAACATTATATTTATTTCGTATTTTATCTCTTAAATGTGCTGAAGTAGAATTATTACCATAAATTATCTTTTCTAGAATATTTTGTTTACTTAATTTAGGATATAAAAACCACTTATGCTGTTATGTCAGTTTAGTTTACTACCAGCTATTGTTTAATAAAAAAATTAAACATTACGAGTAGTTGCTCATTTAACTCGAGGGCGAAGAGGCCCTGTTAAACGAAGCCCGTCAGATGGGTACGTGGTCAGGTAGATCCGGACGAGGTGACGCGGTAGATATACACCCAATCTTCCTCGCTCCAACTCCACAACGCTTACACCCGAACGTAGACCGCTACTACGACCACTTATCATTACTATACTACCTCCTACAAAAAAATACCGCCTCGACACTTATTCAGATTTAGAGAGTTTTAGTGAGGAAGTTAAGCTATAATCCGGTTCTGATGGCAAGCAAGGATGGCAAGTAATCCCAAAAAAAAATCTGGGAGGAAGTAGGTGCCATGATGGTTGCAAAAGGATATGTGATTACAGGAACACAATGCTCAGGAAAAATAAGAAGTTGAAAGAAGACCTACAAGGACATAAAAGACCATAATTCAAAGTTAGGAAATGTTAGAAGACACTGACAATTTTTTTAGGTATGCAAACGAACTATCGTATCTATAATAATTCTACTAATACGGAAAAAATACAGTCATAAATATTTTGCAGATTATGGATGATTTTTTTTTCCAAAAAGGCATGCTACGATCCTGAAGCTGTAGCAACATCAACAGATCTTTAAGTGACAAAGTCAGATCAGAAAGAAAACTCAGTGGATTCCGATAGCGGATGTTCAACTGAGTTATCAAGCAGTAAGATGTATAATTATATATATAAAAAACAAAAACAAAAATAGCTATACTTTATTCAGCACAAAATGTACTGAAGCCACAATGAGTTGCTTACTTGCTAAAAGATTAAGACAAAAGGACCAACATGAGGAAGCAAAGGCAAGGAGGCATAAAGAGCAAATGGAGATGAGTGCGAAATTACTCGCGGTGCTAGAAATGAATTGTCACTGATAATGAATCAGTAATTTTTTTAATAAATCAAACTTAGATTTAGTGCGCATCAGTTGCCCTAACTATCAAGTATAGGGATTTTGCTTGTCTATTCTACTTACTTTGGCAAGAAGGGTATAACTACAAATTGCTTGTAGGTGCATGTCAAAAACTGGATTAGAAGATACCATAGATTTCAGCAAGCAAATCAACAGTAATCTAACGTTTCATTGGTGTCTTCTGGCTCTTATTAATTTTGGCGCTGTTTAATATTGGGACTTGACCTGATAGAAATAGATATTTTGCGTTAGCTGCAGCACCAATTCCGATGACTAATGCGAGCATACAGAAATTCATTGGAATCCTTACAATGCTGAGAGCCTATTACCTAATTACTTGATGTAGAAAAAGGCAAAACGCAGAGCCCAAACAGCTGACAAAATATGAAATGAAAACGTTCCTAACCGTAGAATCAAAAAAGTGTATTTTGCATCTGAATGATAAACAGGACCTTCTTCCACTAAACCCCGGCGAAAGACGTGATGTAGTTATAAGAATAGAATATAGTGATTCAGCATAGAACACCCGATTAAAAAGTGATTAGTTAAGTATAGGTTGCGTATTTTATTATGAATGTATTATTTTAAGCCATCGCACTAATAGTTGAATTGATATAAGACCGGATAGTAATACCAGAAATTTTCGTCTCTCTCATCAAGAAATTACGGTGTTCATTTTTTTTTAAAGAAATCCCAGTCAGTCATAATTGATGATAATAATAGCAAATAGTGAACAATGTGCGATGCGTACATGTATTTTATTTCAGCTGACGCAAGCATAGTTACGGTATAGCATCAGGTACAGGTCAGTGGAATAGTATTTATTGTCTTAATGAATGAATTTTTTTTGTCCAAAGCGGATGGCACCAACAAATTTATAGATAGATTAGTTTAAGATAGTACATAAGCAAATAAATTTTATTTATTGGAAGTTTTCTGGCCCCATTAATAGATGTATAGTCGGTATAACTTCAATAGTCCGGGCAGATATCGTTCCGAGACATGCCCGGACTATCGAGGCATCTGGATTACTGGAGAGATTTGAGTTTATGAAATAAAACATCTTAACTATGGAAAGTAATAATAATATATGACATACGTCTTTATTAGTATTCCTACCTGACTCTTGAAACGATTTTGAAATAAAAGTCCTTCTTCTCCCTTTTTTCTTTACATCAAACACTTTAGATTTTGGAATACCAAACTGCTCTGCAATTCGACGTGCTTGAAAACCAAATGCAGAAAGAAAAATGCCGCCGCGCCGTGCCGTTTCCAACCTTCATTGAACCATTTTTTAATTGTTTAGTCAGGAAAATTCTTTTGTTTTGCATATGAATATTTTTGCGCCCCGATTCTAGAGGCAAAATTTTCAAAATGTCCGAATTAGGCTAGCCGTACATTGAGGGCAGCGCAGCCTAGCACAGCACAGCGGAGGAACTACAGAGGAAAACTATTCCTGTGCTCTGCCAGAGCGATATCCGCATATTGAACGTAGATAGTTATTTCTTCCTGTGTTTCTGTTATAAGTTTTTTTTTAAATTTTATATTTTGTCCAAAAGGCATAAAAAATCAATATGGAAAAACGATTATTTGAGGAAAAGAAGCACTCATGAGAAATTCAATTTAATAAGTGAACTTGATGATTATCAAATTCAAATGACAATTTCTATATATTTTGGTTTAATCTTCGGGCGAATTGAGGGCGCAGTTCCGAAAAAACTGTGTTTATTTCACACAGAGAATGCAGCACAGGCAGAGGGAAAATTTTCCTGCGTCTAGTCCTTACTAGTTACTACGTGCAATATGCGGCACTGCGTTTGTTCATGTACGTTACAAAAAGTCTTCCTCTGCTCGGTTGTGCTGTGCTAGGCTACGCTGCCCCCCACAACAGAGCCCGGATTAATGGAGTGTCCGGATTAGCGACTGTCCGAACTATCGTAGTTATACTGCATTTTTGATATTTGTTATATTAGAGGTTGCAAGAACATTGATAGGTGATATTTACCAGGAGAAGAAAATTAGAGCACTATGACCAAGCAGAACTGCCGTTGATAAAAACATAGCCGCAGGCCAATCAATTCCTTTGGTGGAAAATTAATTTTGGAAAAGGGACTAATAGTTGGAGGTTGCTGAAATTACCGATTAACTGGTATAGCCAAGTTATTGCCCACCTAAAGGGTGGAGCGGTCTAAAGACCTCAACCTTCCCGGACTACAAGGAGCTCGGAATACAAAGAGGAATACAGTTGGTCACACACAACAAAAAAAAGAAGCCGTTTCAGCACATCGCTGGCAAGTTGACCAAGGACCAGTATGATTGATTGGCTTGTTTGTGGCCAAAACTCTTTCCCATGCATTTCTTAACTCCGTTTTCTTTTCGACTCCAAAACTGTTACATATATAGCACT